GTGGTGTTTTTGTCACTTTAGAATGACGTTACCCAGAACACTTAAGTAGGTTAAATCATATATGTATTTTATTGTTACATAGTATGCAGTACAGAGCAGACATGAAATGAGGGATAAAATGGTCAGAATCTTAAACTCCCTATACTTTGATTAACACAGCAGCCAACAGGGAATTCACACATACTGCATGTGGCCATGAATGAAAGTTGTATATGATTATGTAGATAAATGGTTGATATCAATAGCGCCGTAATAATGATTCTACTTGGACAATTTACACACTATGATACTTTCACAACAATACCTGCACAATGGGGATTCAAGTATAGTCTCATTGTTGTTAGTTTTAGCTAGTAAGCATACTTTAAATTATGCAACAAGTAAATACAACCCTCTGTGTGCCTCAGGATTTACCATGATGGCTAAATAACACACTCGGCCAATAGTAATTCACCTCCCCTACTGCTGACTTCCTGTGCAATAGAGGGTCCAAATTACAGCACTGACTAATATTCAGATTTGCACCCCTCTGCCTCCCCTCCCCCTCTTTAAATCCAGTAATCCGAGAGGAAATGAAATTGGCTTAGTGACTTTCCGACCTGTCTGCGGAGGGAACGCCACACAAGACTGCAGTGAACAGTTTAAGCTGATTAACCCCAATAAGGAGGGTTATCTTATTAAAGCTTGACTTTAGAGGCTGTACGCAGGTTGGCTCTATGAATTTGAGTAAATACAGGGTGTTCATTATTAAATGGTGGCTCAAAAACTTGTGGAATTCTAGACTCTATAACATATATTTAGTTTCCTCCTTTTATCAGTTATCTATGCTGGACAGTTGACCAAATAGACATTTGTTCACATATTTGTATAGATGAGCAATATTTTGAAGACATACAAATGTTTTGCAAATTTGAGTTTTTATGTTGAAACTGATATGTCATATATGAAATTTAGACATTTGTTCCTACATGAAATCATAAAGCGAAGCCTTCACCAAATAATGGGGTGAAACAGTCTCCTGGCCTGTGGGTCTTGCATCCATAGAAAGCTGGACTCAGAAGCAGAAAGTTATCTTGAGAAATGTCCTCAGTAAAACACAGAATAACATTGTTTTGCCCTATCACTCCAGATTTGAGTCTGTTCCGTGTTTTGCTCACTGACCTCAAGTCAGCCAGTGTGACGTTTTCTGTCAACAGATATAACAGTGATATAACATGTGATTGTATAGATGTCCTTCATGTACACTAACATTTTGAGCCTCAGTGCCGGTGATAGCTGTGGGCGGAGGCATGATGTTTTTGGGTTGTCTGTCTGGCCGTACTTCTGTCTGTCCCGTTCTTGGGAACGTGATATCTCAGGAATGCCTTGAGAGAATTTCTTCAAATCTGGCCCAAACATCCATTTGGACTCCAGGATGAACTGACTAGATTTTTGTGGTCAAAGGTAAAAGTCACTGTGACATAAGAAAACATATTTTTGACCATAACTCAAGAACTGGCCATATTCTATAACTGATCAGACAATGAATTGGTGACACTACTGCCTTAAAGGTCACCATAACCTCAAAATGATCTTGACAAACACGTTTTGGTCATAACTCAAAATTTCACACATATGTTTGATGGAGTACAAATGTCAAAGGTCAACTTCACTGTCACATCATAATATCGTAGAAAAACACTTTTTTGGCCATTATTCAAAACCATAAATCATGTGACAGCAAACAATGTACTGGAGTGTGCCGAGCTAATGGTGATCCTGTGAGTGAGTGAGTTTCACCTACAGCACATAGAAAGGCTTTGCATCTAAAAATGCCAGGAGAGAACAAAAGCACCACATTTTGTATAGCTACACTCTACAAGAATCCATCTTTAAATAATAAATCCATGTGTACCTGTTTATCCAATACATCTATGATAATCTTTCATTAATCAGTTAAAAGATGTATATTCACTGAAATCATACATACATATGTACAGTACGATCAATATAGTCATAACTTCCATTTAGCCAAAAAATTCACTTTATACTTTCACCGCATATTATGAGTCTCAACAGACATGGATGTAAAGTGCAACTTGACTGGTGGCGTATAACCACAGGATGGTCATTCTAATTATGTCTGTATCCTAGTAAGCCTCAACTTCCACCACTACTCGCTTACCACATGCTCTCCAAAATAAAAAATAAAAAGAAATAGTTGTTTGTGCTAAAGGTCTACCTTATGTTTGTACCATGGACGTACACAATTTGCTACAATACCAGACTTCTGTTCTTTCATAAACACTGAAATTGAGGCCAGCATCAGACACTAATTATAAGCAGTAACAGTAGTGTTGTTGAAACAGTGATGGTAATGAGTTTAGGCAGTGATCCGCAAGCTCTCATATGAGTCAACTGCCTTTATGGGAGGAAACGCCAAGCTTCACCTCCTAGTTCTTTCACTTGAGTGGAAAAACAATCAAAGCAGTGCCATTAAATATGTTTGTTTTATGAATCCTGGCTGTATGTGATATTACTGTATGCAAAAGAGGAAAATAACAGTAAACAGTCCTGTGGCTTTACATGTGCCTGTTTGTTTGAAGTATCTCCTGCAGTGTTCTATAGTAAATGTCTGGCACAAGAGATAATAACAAAAGGAAAATGTGAGACAATAGAAGTATACAGGGTAACCGAGAACAAAAGCCAAAGAAAGAAAGAGCTTCAAGATTAAGTTAATGTACAAAAGATTACGGTACTGCCATTATGACAAAAATATTTGTCATATAGTTTCTTGTTTCTTGTTATAATGTGAAAAATTTGATATTTTTTACATTATAACAAGATTTTCCTGTTATGACATGTCATGTCACCAAATAATTTTTCTTGTTATAACATAATAGTTTTTTGTAAGAGGAACTGCATTAAACTGCCATACATCAGAAAAAAATAAAACAACAAAAGGAAACTGTAGGGAAATGGTACCAAAAGCATGTACAATAAAAAACAAAAAACTGATATATTCACTAAGATTTCTGTATTTGACTAGATCTCAGCTGTCAGCAGCGTTCATATGGTGCCTTTAACTCATGAGATAAACCATAAAATGCTTTTAGCCATAAGACATTTTGAGTATTATGTGTACTGCTGTATTGGTGTCATATAACATTTAATATTAAAGGACAGTGTAGGACATTCATACATATCAGTTCACATCTATATATGAAAAATGCATTTGACTGTAGATTGTATTGGTTTGCAGCCTGTAGTTAGAACGTCTTTATTTCTCTTGGTGAAGAGGAGAAAAAACAGCTCTTCTTATCATGTCTGAACACAAAGCCTCAGAAAACATTCATGTGTCTTAGATTTATGCATTAAAGATACTCCATTATGCATACATCAGCTATTAAACAAATTGGATTTTCAGATCAAATAATAAGCAGTTTGCCATTATACTGTAAGGAGACACAAATCATAATGTTGGCCTCAAAGGAGGGTATTTTCTCTCTTAATATTAAGGGGGCGGAGGGGTTGGTTCATGTTTTATTCATTATAAATCCTGGCCTGTGGCAAGCAATGGCTTTGTATTCAGTTAAGTGAGATTACATTTGTTAAGTCATTTGTTAAATTGTACAACAGGATAAGGCTGTGTAAATATGCACGCACTGTCGGGCACAACTAGTGTGGTTGTTTGCTAAACTAAAATTAATCTGTTTTAAGGGTACTCCCTTTTATTATATTTATTTATTTATTTTTGAACATAAAAAAGGATCAAAAATACAAAACAAAGACTGTGTTTCAGTCATTATAACGGTAACCACTGCAGATGTCATTGTAATCTGAAGTGGCTGAAATGACAATGCAGTCATATTTCTATGACGTAATTGTTTTAACATTAGACACGGGTATTTGTCAGCAAGTTGATTGACTGTAAAATGTGGATCTTCTATGCTACATAGACTGTATGCATATACATAATCTAAAGCTCTCCTGGTTGGTTTATCAACAAGCCATAATGATCTCACAGCTGCCAAATTGCTTTTCTCACAGCTCCCAGAGGTGTGAACAGTTCTTTTTTTTGGGGTTTGGCAGCTCTGCAAAATGCCAACCGGGCTACTTTCATTGATTCCAAAAGGTCAAGTGCGCAGTTGTTTGCAGACGCGTAATAAGAGCGATTGTTTTCCGTTCTCTGATCCAAAGGGCTGCATTGTCAAGCTGCCAGATAATTAATGACTGAGTAATTAGCAGGTTTATTGTTTGTGTTCATCCATTATGTCACTGCAGGTTGACTGTTCCTTTTTCACTGTGTTTTGATTGACAGGGTTTTTTACGGGGGGTGGGTGCGACATAATTTGCAAACCAAATTTACAAACCTGCAGTCTTAATGGAAGGAGGTGCTACAAAGTAATTTCTACATTTGTGATGCATAAGACACAATCTGCAATCTAAATGTAAAGAAAAGGGTCCTTTATGCATATGTAAAATGTAGTGATATATAATATAACGTTTGGCAGCTACTCAGAAAATTAAAGAGTTGTTCACATTGATGATGTGTTAAAAGTCTGCAGCTCTTCAGGTCACTGTGGCATTCCGACTCACCTTTGTAAAAATTAAGAGCTCTATTGTCTAAAATGACGATGTCTTGATTTGGAGACTCATTTTAGTGATCAGTGGTAGTCAGCACTGAGCTTGGTGACAAAGTACATGCTGCATCATTTCATGTGAATCCCCTGTGCTCATGTAAGTAATTTGAATCTAGTGTGGGATTGGCGGACTCCGCCAGTAACCATGAAAACTACTGTATAAAGAGATAATTACTGAATGTAAATGCAACGAATGTCTTGCTGACTGACAGTAAATAGTATCAAAAATGGAGTTTAAATTAATACAAACCTCAAGGATTATAATATATATTGTTTGCAAATGTGAACCTGTTTCTAAGTGGAATGTTTATAACTATTAACTATACAATAAAAATACAACAAAACTGGCAGATTTTCTTCCTTTAATGTTTTATTGCCTTTTTATATATGTTGAATGTGAGCATCTCTTGAAAAGTCTCAGTTAAAGAGTCTCAGGTGGATTTTGTCTCATCTTCCAGCTTCTCCTCCTTCTTCCTCAAACCCAAGAGGTCTCTGAATTTTTTCCAGCCACCGTTTTTCTTCTGCTCTAAGTCGTTGATATCCTCCAGAATGGAAGTATCCTCCTCTGGCTCCCTGGTCTCATCCTTCTGCTCTTTGAGCTCGGCGAGTTTAGTCCGGAGACCCTGATTGACCTCCTCCACAGCCTGGAGCTTAGTGACCAGCTCCTGGTTGGTAGAATTCTGTTTAGTCAGGTTTTCTTTCAGGTCTTCCAACTCTTTGGAAAACAACTTCTCTTTCTCAGAAGTGTTTTTCTTCAAGGTCTGGATCTCTTCCTCCATCTGTCGAAGCAGAGCATCCTTCTCAGCCCTCAACTGCTTTATGACTTCCAGCTTCTCTAACACACTTTCAGATTGAGACTGAATCTCTTTCTCAAGGTTTTTCTGCAGGTCAGCGCTCTTTTCTCTTTCAGCCTTCAGCTCAGTCTTGTACCTCAAGTTGATCTGATGTGAAACTTTGAGCTGCTGAAGTTCTTGCTGTAGGGCTTTATTTTGATCTTTTTCAACCTGGAGCTCTGTCGAGAACTTCTCTTTGGTGATTATGTGAGCCACTTTGAGCTCCTCAAACTCCTTCTGAAGCACCTTCTTCTGCTTCTTCTTGATGTCATTCCCAACCTCAGTGGCAATCCTCATGGTATTCATTGTCTGTGTGTCACTGATCCTCTTCAACCTCTCCAGTTCTTCCCTGGTTTCCTTGCCTTTGTTAATGAACATTTCTTTCAGGGTCTTCTGACGAGCCAGCTGTCCTTTAGTCTCTTCCAGTTCTTTGCTGAGCTGCAGCCTCATACTATGATCCTGGAAGTTTATGACACGCTGCTGCCCCAACAAATCATTCAACTCCTGCACTTTGTCCTCCAGGGTGCTGTTTTTCTCCTGCTGGCCACTACTTTTCTCTGGAAGGAGCTTATTTTTCAAGTTCTCTGCTGGTTCCTGGAGAGTCTGTATCTTCTGTTGCTCCAGTTTGGTGGTAACCTGCATCACCTTCTCCTCCAGACAGGTGCTGTGGTTTTCAGCACTTTGCAGTTGAGCTTTCAGCTCCTCCACCTGCTTTTTAAGAGCCTTCTTTTCCAGCTCACAGTCTTTCAACCGTAGGGCTAACCTGTAGGGGCCTGGAGGCCTCATGATGTTCTCCATTTTTAGCTGGTAGATTGAAACTTGTCTCTCATGCTTCTGTGTCTCTGTGGAAAGGTTGTCAAGATACAGAGTTTTGTTATAATGTATCTGTGGTTGTCATAACAAACAAAGAATGGAACTGTTGAATGTTCCACTGTTTTAAATGTTTACACAAATTTTACATTAATTGGGCTTTTCATAGGTTTGTTTTGGCCCCCTTCATGTGATGTCTCCACACAACATAGTCAGTATTTCAACCATTGTTAAATACAGTTGTTATTATGATACTGTGACACTGTCCTCACCAGAGATGCATCCGCATCTCCTGTCACTGTAGCAAGGCATTTTTTGGTTTCTTGTCATTACTTGAGGTTGCTAGGCAACCAGTAAAGATGCCAGGAAGTAATGAAATCTGCCAACTCTTTGGTTAAGTTTAGGTCACTAAAGATGATGATGAAAGATTTTGGTCATGGTCACTGAAGTTGCTATGGCAACGACTCTGCATGTAGATGCAGCAGCTGGTAGCTCCTTCAAACTTTCTTCATTTTTCTTTTAATCTTTTTTTTTCTTCAGATTGCTGAATCATTGATCATTGAATGATGTCTGACTGGATTAGATTTTGAAGGAGACCTAATCGGCTAATTTCCAGCACTATATTCTTAGTCTGAGAATTGACTAGAGTCGCTTTGCATAATTCACTCTTCGAAAAACATCCTTAATTATTAGGGGTGTAAAGATTTACCGATATAAGACGGAAATCGGAAATGTTGTGGATGCGACTACATTGGTACAATTGGTTATTTTTGCTTACCAAGGAAAGAAACATGTAGGTCATTTTAAGTATGTACAAACAACCAATGCTCATGTAACATGATTTAACACACTGGGAAATAACTAAGTAAGAAATAATTGAATGCGTAACATTTACAAGAAGGTATAAATAATTAACATTATGTCAGAGATAATAACTCCCCAAATTGTATGATTTTTTTGAGGGAGTATGGGAATATTGCAGTTACTAGTTCAGTGGTTAAATCTATTGAAACAGACAATGTGTTCACAAACATCTGCTGCTTATCTCGGCAGGTAAAAGAGCCCAAGGACATAATTTGCATTACAGTGAACTAAAATAGACAGTGTGTGTACTTAATAATAAGTCGTTCTATGTGGCCCGGGATGCATTAGCATTTACACTACAAAAGATATGTGGTCAAATACGTCCCAGACCACCTCGGCAAGTGGTCCACTTGTGATTGGATCACCCAAGAGGCATTCTAATATCAGCTGTAAACAGGCTCTCTGTATCTTGACATTCTTTCCACAGAGGCACAGAAGCATGAGAGACAATCAAGTTTCAATCTACGGGCAAAAAATTGAGAACATCTTAAGGCCTTCGGGCCCTACAGGTTAGACCTTCAGTTGTAAGACTGTGAGCTGAACTTTCACCTGAAAGTAAGAATCGTTGTGGTTTGGTTACCTTAGAATCAGCCGTTTTTATCTCCTGATGGCACGGGTCGCCTCCATGTTTCTACAGAAGCCTGGAACGGACAAACCAAACACTGGCTCTAGCATGGCATAGTTTCTCCTGCGTGCTTGCAAAGGGAGGTGGGAGTGAGTGATTTACAATCTGCAACTACACCGCTATATGCCACTAAATCCTACACACTGTACCTTTTAAGGTTAGCGAAAGATTATGGTCATGGTTAAAGAAAGAAAGGGATGATTGATAACCTCTCACAGCTGTGGGCTCTGTATGCTGCTGAGATCAGCAGGCAATTACCTAAGCTTAGCATAAAGACTGGAATCAGGGGGCCAGGAGGCAGCCATTGCCATAGCCAAAATCTCCTTAATTCAGTTGATTGGAACCATTTTGGCATAGTCCTTTAAAGTCGGTTTGAAAGGTTTGCTACCAATCTTCAACATAGTACTTACATAGCAACTCTAAAGACCATGACCTTAACAAAAGAGCTGGCAGGTTGAATTTGAGTCATTCTGGGTTATTTTTTTAGCCACTGACAAACAGCCTTTTGTCACCTTTTAGAAGCCAATAGAAGGGATTTAGTATTTCCTCCAGAACTGAGGGTTGTTTCTATCTGTCCTCTCTTACCGCACAAACTCATCTGCACTTATTTATTTGCACAACTCACACAGATGTTTTTGGCGTCCAACCTCATCAATATTCATATGACCTCCAGCTGAACTATTAGTTTAAATATTGCAGAGCGAGAAAAAGTTATTTGTTTGCGGTTACAGCTCTCTGTCCAACAGTTGTGTGGTTCGACACCAGGAAGGAACTGACACGTTTAATCTCGCTGTGATTACTCAAAGGAGCTTAATGTTTTGGCTGAGAGTTGAAAGAGTTGAAGCCACAGAGATGAAGCAAAGTCAAACCTGTGAAAACACATTAAAGATGAACTTATGAACCTTACATGATTCCCAAGTGAGTTTTCTCATCTAACAGGGTTGATCAAGCAAATCATTCATCAAAGATATTTTTAAGAAACACATGAACAGCAGCTGAAAAATATAAATCGAGATGTTAAAGTAAGTTCAATAACAATCACTAACAAGCTCCCTAGTCATAATAATAAATAAATTTGGCACTCAAGTTCAGAGAATAATATTCTGAAAATTAATTAAAATGTTTTGAGCCACATCCACACAGGATTTATATCACTTGGGAATACCCAGTTGTTTGGAATAATTTATCTTATTTTGGGTAGAGAGGGGTCCACTGTTAATACTAATCTTTTTTATTGGAAGTTAATTTCTTTTTTAACTTGTAGGCAGACAATTTATTTTTTATCTGTGTGTCATGATAAAAGGACATAGTAGTGTACTCTCCAGAAGAATGTTTTGAATGCAGGATTTTCTTTACATGAGGTTTGATTTACCTGCTAATAATATTAATAATAATATTCTTACTTTTTTGTTTTGTTTTTTTGTATCATGTATGTCATTAGTACATTAATTAATGTAACACTGTCTTATGGGGACATTCAAGATATCTGAAATCCCTCCTTCATTCACTATTCCTTATAACAGAAACTCAATAGTTCAGACGAATGACCAGTAAATTGAGATTATGGACATTTATGAATCACTGACAACTATATTACATGATACATATCTGTAATTGCATTGGCATTGTTAGCAGAAAGTAGCATACTTGCCATGAAGTCTTTCAGGCTTGTTTTGTTCCATTGTTCTGTTCTTTCTGAGGAGGCTCAGGCCATTCAACGTTTCCACTCGGGTACTACAACGCACAAGCCTTTTGCACTATTTATATTT